AAAGGACCAGTGGTGTGTGTCTCACTAGAGAGAGGTGTCTGAGGCATGGCAGATGTGCTGCTGGGAGGTCTCCCAGGTTTTCTGTTTGTTTATGCATCAGAGCAGGTATCCATACAGATTGTCCTTTTATCAGCCCTGTTACTCAGCCCCACAAGACAACAAAGTCCTCATCCATTTTTGTGGGATCTTGGCTGTTACTTCCATGTCTTGGCAATAGAAAGCTGAAGATATCCATGAATGCTCTAAAGAAGAGAGAGCATTCCCATGGGCCCCTGTCACTCAAGATCTGACAGTCCCCAGGGGGGTATCCCAGGAGCTCTAGAAGTCTTGGCCCTGATTCTTGCAAGTGCTGGACCATTCCTTCCCTGGATGTATTACAGGCTGGAGAAACCATGTGTACTTTCTCCATAATTAGACCCAAGGCCTTTGTGTAGCAGTTCCCAATCTTGGCATGTTTCTGCAATGTGCTTTTTGTAATTTGTGGGTTACTTGAAATGGCCCTGTTTACAGAGATAGCATCTCTAGTTGAGGCTCTGACATCAGCTCTCTTTAGAAACAGCCTAATGGTTGAGGTAACTTTTAGTCTGACTCAGAACGCTCTCTTTTGAGTCTCTTTGTGCTGAAAGCTGGAAAAACAGTATGGTAATGTGGCTCCCTCACTCTCTTTTCCCCTCAGTGTCCTCTGATTAAATGTCATGTTGTACAGCTAGTCAGTGGCTGTAGGGTGCCACACAGGGCTGGGTATTGTCTCAGGGCAGAGGACCAGGTCCATGGAAGTTGGATGGATTTAGCTGAAAAGAGGGTCACCTGCAAGTTTTCTCTAAGGCAGAGATAGGAGGAATGACAACAAGAGTCCAGTTTTCTTCTCTCCTCCTGATTCGCCTTATTCAGCATCCAGGTGAGAGCTGGCCAGGAGAAATTCCTGGGGTGCAACTTCCTGTGGAAACTGTGGTAAATGGGTAATTTCAGGAGGTAGAGGGAATGTCAATGACCTGTGTCTGGCCTCTCTGTTTTCCTAAGACTTGATACATGCAACCTCTCTGCTCTGGTCCATGTGGTGGGGAAGAGCCTCTCGTCTGTCAGACATGCTGGCAGACAGTGTGGTGAGTCTCCACTGAGGTGAGTGGCATGTGTGCTTAGGGTGCAGGTTGGCTTTGAGAATGGGCTGCTGGCAGTAAAGTTACGTCTATCCACAGCTGCAGTAGTCTCTTGGTTTCTCTGTCCCTCCAGGACCACATAAACCAGCTGCAGCTGTCTGGACGTTGTGGATCAGGCTGACAGGTTCTCTGATGTGTTGGGTCCCAAGCAGCATTGTTGCTGTATCGCAAACGTGTGGAGAGTAGGAGTGCTGCAGAACAGTGTGTGAGACCAGGGTCAGTGGAGCAGGTCTCATGCAGAGCATACAGTATGTGGCGGGCCTGTACTTTGGAACTGCCTGGGAAATTCTATGTACGTTCATGTTCCTGCTTGTCTGTAGCTGAGAGTCTGTGATTCTGTGGATTTACTTCCATTCTCTTGATCTGTGTGGAGATCCAGAGTCCCTGACACAAAAGGACCTTCATCTATGACCAGAAGTGCTGGTTACTCTTCTTGCTGTGCCAGTACAGCATATTTTGTCCAAAAGTCACTTGCTCTGAACATGATCTACAGGAGTACCCTGATTATGTGTCCAACTCCTAAATAAGTTGTAAAGTAGCTGTGATTTCACAGCTTTGCTATTAGAGAAGCAAAGTGCATGACAGTCTCCTTATCACAATGTAAGCACGCACTTGTGTTTATCTTTGCTATTTTTTTGCTTACTATTGCTATTTCTTTAATCAAGAAAGAATTGAGAGTTCAAGCATAGGTCTCTGGCTAGTTTAATTTAACAAATAAAGAATTAATATTCTTACGAATATAAATCAGTTCTTCATCAGTTCATCATTTTCTCAACCTTCACCTGTCTCTGGGGTCCTGCTGACCTCACACAGAAGCTTCTCTCAGGCTTGCCCCCTATTCCTGCATTGTGGATGCACAGAGAAATTCTCCTAAGACTCACTCAAACCATTTTTAAATAAAAAAAGCCTCATGCATGAATAGCTGTAGTTGTGGATTGAACAGCTAAGCTAACATGGCTGCAAGCCTCTCCCTCCTCCCAGTGCTGCACAGTCCAGGTTGTACCTGCCCTGGCAGCCTGTGGTGTAGCCATGGCCGTGCTGCTCCACCACAAGGGGAGGGAGGGAGGGAGGGAGGGAGCGAGGGAGGGATGGATAGATGGATATACATAAGAGTGGACCACCCACAGCCAGCAGTGTTTCCTGCCCTGATGCTGGGGCACAGAGCCAGCTCTGTGCACTGGATCTGTGTTTTCTATTTCTATATGTTGAGTTTCTGGATTTAGCTCTGCCGTGCCCCACTGTGTGAAGCTAGGCTCATGTATTTCCCTGGTTAGTGCTGATATGCATTAACGATAGTAAAAATAGGTGTACTGCTTACCTTACTGGCCTACTGAAAGGAAAATGTGCAGAGTTAGTATGCACAAATTTCTTTGTAATACTTCACAGCTTATTTCCTGCTTTACTTGCTAGCACAGGGTTTCCAGTCTGTCGTCCTCCATCAATGCCTCATCTCATGTGCAGAATGAATCTCTGTTTTCCTTTCATGATGCTGTTAATGGCTGAGAGGACAAAATAGTAGTGCAAACCTGCACGTCACCAAGCAAAAAAGATTTTAGTTCACCTTCCAACTAAAAGTTCTTGGCCTTTTTTGTTCTTTACTTCTTCTACTTGTGGTTCCTACTAAGCCTCATAAGTTATTTTTTGTCTATAATGACACAAGTTTGTGTGTCTTTATATAAAAAGGGGAAGTTAATTCTCTGGCTAGCCAAGGGTGTTGTGAGCATTCATTAGCCAATGTTAAAAATAAGTGTTTAATCTCATCTAAAAAATTTGATTATATATGATATTTGAGAGGGTTGCTTTTAAGAGGAGGCTGCTGATTGATGACAATACAGATTGTTCATGTGCTGTCATCTTTATCCTAGTTGTGATTTCTTTTTTTTTTTTTTTCTTTTTAGCTAGTGTGGAAGAGAGGGAGAGAAGGAGCCTAATGGGACTTCATATATTGCGTGATGTATGGGGCACTTGCAGTCAGAAATATTGAACTCATAAATGTACTCATTTGGCCTGGAGTCACTGAGAGGGAGACTAAATACAGGACACCGCAATGTCACAGACATGCAGAGTCACTTCTGTAACAACAGAGCTACAGTAGAAAGGCCATATTTTTCTTTGATTTTACTGCAAATCTGTAAGTGAGCTCTGTGAGGCTGCTATCATTGGCTGGAGGAGAGGGTGAACTTTTGCTGAATTTGGCTGTATGCAGACCCCTTTTGCATTTTGTTATTTTTCTGAGATTCTGAACATTTTGGGGTGCTATTTTAAAGCAACCCTGCTCATGCTATCTGTTCTGTCTCATGTCTCCACCACAGCACTGCCACCCTAAGCTCTACCAGCTTGCCCTTCAAGCATGAAGGTGAAATGAAGCTAAATGTGCACATCCAAGGCAGATAGTTACCCCCAGTCTTGCAGTGGTACTTGAAAGAGATATTCCTCATGTCATCTGAGCAGCACAGAAGGAAATGAAAGTATTTCTTACTGTAAATACTTTTCTATTTCTACCTTCCTTTGCACTGCTGGGAGTGTTCGCCGACTCACTTCACTGCTCTTCTCAGAGAAGGGTATTTCTGTCACATCTTAGATCAGTTCAGGCCTGTCCTGTGCACATAGGATGAAGATGGGACAGTGCCGTGGTAGCCTTGAACAAACTTGTAAATTTTGAACACTAGGAGCAGAAGGTGAGATGCAATTGTCATGGCTAAGAAGTCAGAGAGGCCAAACCCCTGGCTGAGATGTAGAACGATCAAGCAGAGCCAAATGTGTGTATACATATGATTCCACCACGTGGAGCTTCCTTAACAAGCTGTGTCTGAGACACAGCAGGAAAGTGTAAGATTATCAGCCACATCCTGAACTGCTCTCACAGTTATTCCCCAGCATATCTGCTAAGTGCATCTAAAACAAATCCAGATGTTGGCTCTAATGCTGTGACAGTTTATTTCCTCCAGTAAGCCAGACAGTTTCTGCTGCATTGCTTGGGTCATCCACCTCAGCACTCAGTGCAAAATGTCAGCGTGTTTCAAGACATCTCAATGAGTGCAAACAAATTATCTGGCTCTGTGTGGCCCTGTAGATAACTAGTGGACAGCACTTCATCAAGACTGACGTTTCAGACTTGTCTCTGGGGTCTGCACTCCAAGCAGAGCCAGGGTGGCTTTCAGGCTGCATTCAGCCTAGTTTTACGATGCTACTTAACTCCTCGTAACCTTTATTCTTTTCCTGGTGTGGCTGTACAAAGCTCTTTCCTGCATGGCAGGTACCGTTCAGTCCCTAGAAGAGCCCAGCAAAGTTCAGGCTGGCAACATAGCCTTTGCGTATAGAGGGAGAGCCTTCTCCCACACCTCCTGCTGGTGAGGCTCTCCATGAGTGACTGTTGTTGGCATTTTGGAAAATCAGCTGGTCTGTGTGTGCAGTGCTTTATCTGACAGGGTTGATTTCTCTTCCCTGGGTGGGGATGCTGTACTTTGATAAACTGGAAAAGGATGAAAGAAAGAGGTGGTTTGCCTTTGCCCAGTCTCAGTACAAGCATCTTACTGAACAAGGTGAGCTGACCAGGAGATATTTTTGTCTCCACTTACCTCTCAAACTATTCTCACACTTGCAGCTAGCTCCAAGGTGCAGCACTTTGCAGAGCACATTGTGGCTTGTGTCAGTTCAGCATGAGTTCAGTCACCCAAAACCTTGCAGGTCTATTTTGAAACATTATTCAGTCTGTCCACTATGGAGTTTCTTTTCTTTTTTTTTTTTCCACTTTTGCTTCTGACATCATTTCCTGAATGTTGTATTCACTGAGCTCTGTAGCCACATCGTCTTCTCAGCATATGATGCAAGGAACTCTTTAAAATGGATTTCAGCTCTCCTTTTACTCTGCAGTGCTTGCTGGTGATAATAACTGCTACTCATGGTAAGTGGGATTTTTCTTTATGAAGTTGGTATGGATTTGCCTAGATGAGCAGAAACCTTAATTTTACTCCAAGATCTTTTAAGGACTCTATGAGGTTTGGGGAGGCATCAAATAGTGTAACTGCTAATGCATGGAAGGGGCAGTCAGACCGAAGTAAGACAGATGATTCTTTTAGTAAACGAGTGGTAGCTAACAATATAGTATTTTTTCAGTGTACTTGCATCTGTAAAAGCACTTCGTCAGAGAATGTAAGGTCCTTGTACACAGAACATTGGCTGCAGGGGCTGGACAACAATGTGGTTCTGCTCCTAATGCTTGGTGTGACCGTGGGTTATCCCTGAGCTGCAGCTGACCTGCCCTTTATCCATCTCTGATTTGTGTACAACAACTGAAAAATGTGCAAGGATACTGTGAGACTTGTTCAAGTTGCAACCCTACTTATTGGCTAAAAGCAGCTGTGCAGACAGCAGAGTTTTTGCTACCCATGGCATTGATATCCTAAGAATCTTTTTTTTGCAGTCTCTCAGCTCTGAGGGGAGGTGATAGACTGTCATGTCAAATGTGGGGAGAGAGAAGACCAGCTCCTCAGCCTTTTGTTGCCCTGTGCATCTGGTGTGCACACCACTCCAATGTTACCAGGGAGGAAAGTTGGCCTTTATAGAAGGCTTCTCACTCTGATTTTCCAATTACTGGTGACCCTAGCCTGTCACTAGGGGTGAGTCTGTCCCTTTTATGCCTCACCTGGGTATTTGCCTTTCTGGGAGACAGCTGAGAGGGGATGGATGGACACAGCAACCTCACTGCCCACGCTCTGTGCCTCTGCTTTCAGGCTCTGCCGTCTGGACCGGTGTGCTCAGTGGAGGCTCAGCAGTCTTTCCTGTGGGAATTCAAGATCTGCAGAACCTCTCCAGAATGAGCAAGAGGGACGTGATATGTTTGACATCTATCTTAAATAATACTTTGTTGGCTGAATGTGGCAATTCTGCCAGCACGTGCCTGAGCTTGCAGAATGGCTCCCTAGTGCTGAGGAGTGTGAAGAAAGAGGATGAAGGAAAATATGAGTTTGTTTTCCGCAACACCACCAGATCTTTTACACTGGAAGTATTTGGTAAGTGGAGTTCTTAGCAAAAAATATTTTTTGAACTTGTGAGCCTGGCTGGAAGCTGGTGCCTTGAAATTCTTCCTAAGAGACTACTTGAGCTTGCAGGAACTATAAGTGCCTTTGGAATAGCTTTGTAAGCCTCTGACACCTCAGGGAGCAGTAATGGGGTGTGTAAACTAAAGGATGATTTTTGTGCCTGCGTGCTCAGTCTCTCCTATCTGTTGAGCCTTCCTTGAAGTAGCCATTCGGTTGAACTACGTGCTATTTTTCCCCTGATGTAAGAGAAATGGCAGCATGAAGTGTTGGTAAAGTTGAGTCTACACTATGTGGACATATAGCTGGAGATTTCAGTCCATTTCCAAAATACTCTTTCTGATGGCTCTCTCAAAAGCTCTCATTTTGCTGCCTGTGGACACACTTCCTTAAGGAGTTAACCCTACCTGACTTGGCTCTGGAGACTGAACTGGACTTCTGTGCAGGTCTTGGTTGAGGTGTGCAGTTGAGCTGGTTGAGCTGTGCAGAGACCAGCAATAGGTACCTTATCGTGCCAGTCTCCTTACTGTCCTCCCTGTGGTCTCAGAATTGCCGCTCCCCTTCTTGTGTCTGCTCATCCACCTGCAAGGTGAGAAGACAGAAGGTCACTTCTCTTCAGGATCCAGCTCATTGCTTGGGTTAATGTGGAGAAGGCTTAAATGGGTTTGCCCCTCTGCTGAATAGTGCTCCAGAGAGCCAATGACTATTGCTCTTGTCCTTGTCTCCACCATTCCTTTTGCCAATCTTTCACCTACACGAGCTTCTAAGAGAAACTGAAGCGTATGAGATTGTAATGAAAATGCCTGAACAAAGTGGTCTTAGTGAAGATAAATGAATCCTTGCACCTTTCAGGTGCGAACAGGCAGAACTGCTGTGGAGAGCAGGTCAAAGATTTGACACCTTGTCATGAAGATCTGGGACTTAGGCTTGAAGAAGGCATTCTGCAGAAGTGTCACGGCTTTAACCTCCATTTCAGTGGATTTGCTTTGGGAACTTTAGTGTCCTTCTTGTGTTCTGTTGCCACACCTAAGTCAGGGAGTTACACCAAAGGTATTCCTGGAGGCAGTGAATTTTAGCTGCAGATGATGTCCTAGTTGAAGAAAATTATTTCTGATCTTATATGGATGTTTGCATAGACATTCTCAATGTTACTGTCATAAAATCATACCAATTCTCTGTCTGGTCTGTATTTGCAAAGTGACAAAGGTAGGAAATAGATTGGAAAGCAGAAATTCAGGAAAATGCAGTAAGATCAATGACTCTTTAATTTTTTTAAATTGTCATAGTCTAGGTCATCCTATCTAAGAGGGTGTCAGGTGTTGGTGCCTATGATTCGTATTAGTTCCTCTAAAATGGATGAAGAGGTAGAGTGACAGCAAAACTATAAACCTGTGGTGGAGGAGAGGGCTGTGTCTCCTCTGAAGCTATGGTTATCTGCTGATTATGGAGGAAGCCTCTGGCTGGCAGATGTTTTGGGTGTTTCCATCATTCTCTCAGATCAGGGGCTTTTTTTTTTTTTTTTTTTCCTTTTTAAATTTCAATAGAGAACATGAAGAGACACCAGATTTTTGTGGCATCCCCAAAACAGGGACAAAGAATTACTAGCATGGCTGGGTGGGCACTGGTAAGCATTTCAGAGCTTACAGGTAAGCATTTCAGGCAGGCACTGAAGAGTGGTTACTGATTTCTTTGCTCCCTGTCTACCAGTAAATGTGGTGGTAACTAAGATTGCTGGTAAGAGAAGATCCTGTCCAGCTCATGTTCACGGCTGAACCTGCTACTCACCTCTCTCCTTCCTCCCTGTTCCCGTTTCCCCGTGCTGTGTGTGACTAGAGCCATCTGTTGGTATCCAGTGCTTCCCTAATGGGACCGGAGAGTTGTACTGCAACGTGACCAGCAATGGGAGCACCAGCTTTCAGTGGCTGCTGAACGGCTCTGTGCCACGCGTCCCCGAAGCTTGCATCAAGGACGGTGGGAGGAAGGTTCAACTGGACAAACCTGTGCCCGGGGAATTTGTATGTGAGGTTCACCATGGGAAAAGTGTCACAAGGACCAAGCCTGTTGTGCTTTCTTGCAGTTATGGTGAGTAACATCATCTCCAGAAAATATCCCTTTTGGTCTCTTGCAGCAGAAGACTTCAAGGATTGATGCTGTCTGCGTAATACCAAACACTTCTGCCCTCTGACAGCTGCCTTCCAGACTTGCCACATCCTCCCTTTAGAAAATGTCCCCTTCCTTCTCCCTCCTGTGTCTTGGACTGACACAGCCTACAATCACAGAAGGGATGAAAGGTTGTTCAGGAGGTCCTCTCACCCAGCTCTGCAGTAAGGATGGATCTCTACCTGTCTGTTTTCCCGCTTCACAGCAAAGGGGAGACCCTGCACCCTCCTGGGGTTGATCTTCTATGCTGGTTTAGAAACACGAGCTGCAACCTGCTGACATTTATCCATTAACAAGATGGCCTTCCAGTTTCTACAACATCCCTGTAAAAATACCTCTGATACTTCAGCTCTGTTGCTACTGGACTCAGCTGAGGTGTTTTGCTTTGTCGCTTTTCTCCTTATCTAGGCCAGTTGCACAATGTCCATACAAATTTCTCTCCATCAGCCCCACACCATCAGAAGCACAATTCATTTACTTACAAAATGTAGGGTCTTTTCCCCTCCATGTGCCTCGTCAGATATGTATTTCTGTGAGAAGTCTGTGACCTTATCCATTTTCAAGCTATCCATAAATTTCAAGTACTCTGCTTGAATGAGGCCATAGTTTAGTGAGACAGAAAATCCAGATCCTAGGACTGATCAAAACTGCCAGAACCTCATGATCCAAAGCACCGGTCTGTGATGTAAGCTCACATTTTTTAAAAAAAGACCACCAACAAAAAACACAACCAAACGAATCAACCAAATTTGACTAGATAAATTTGAGTGTGATTTCACTTGTATCTTCAGTAGTGAAGGTTTTTGTCCTCTCTGGCAGCAAAAGATGGTTGTCAAAACTATGTCAGGGCGGCATAATTTAACTGTAAAGTTTTTGACTAATTTAACTATTTAATTTAATAACCTTTGCAACTAGAGAAATTGTACTGTACAATAGCACCTACCATTTTAGAAGTTATCTGAGGTTCTCCAACTTGACAGCAGATACTGTCTTGTCTTCTATGGTTGCCACACTGTTAGTGTGAAAACAATATTGCTGACATAAACCCTGTATCACGTGTGCTGGCATTCAGCAGAAATGCCATGGGCTCTTCGTGCCTGATCACGTTGGCACTGCTGGCCAATCTGTACAAGTCTAGGATATATGATTGTGGAGCAATGATTTTGATCTCCTTCAGCTAAATTGGTCAGAGATTGTTCAGCATAGTCAGACCCAAGTTGGCCGAGGCACTGGGGAGTGAGGATGTGAACATCCATGAGCTGTTCAATCCAGCCCTGTGATAAATCACGTGAGTGCTGACAGTTACCATTGTTTATTCTGGGTGGCTGCCCTGGGTCCCCTGGGTACGATATCGGTTCCCCATTTCCTCTTGAAAAGCCCACAGGGGAAATTAGTGATAGCTCTGTTGGGATGGACATGCACATGTACACGTGTGTGGAAGGGTCTGAGAGCAAGAAAGCAGCAATTCTACTTTTCAGTCACCAGATGCAACCACATTTGTAAAAAGTGAACTAAATCAATTCAGAATACGAGTAATATGAATTGAAGAGAGAAATGAGTTCAATTTTTTTTTTTTTTTTTTTTTTTTTTTTGTGGTTTATTTGCTCCAGGCAAAGGGCTGAATATGTTTTTTTCCACGATAAGTGTAAGATCTATGTAAAAGCACCTATTTGGGCAACCTGTTGGCTTATGAAATTAATTTTTTAATAATTAGTAGCATACAACAATTTTGCAGAAATACTCTAAACTTCCCAGGCACCAAAGGGCTCTGATCACACAGGAACTAAAGCAGAGGATTCTGAAGTTAGTAAGTCAATATACATAAAAGGCTTTTATTGACTCATTACTTGTTTTATTACTTGTTTATTACAAACTTTTAACACAATATTTTATCTTAAAAAGACCTTTTTAACAAGTGGCAACATTTTAGGAAAAAATATTAATGAAAAAGTATTTCCAGGATATATTTATGCCTTTGACAATATTCTTTAAGCTCTCCTCAAAAATAAAATAAAATAATTAGGTAAATGATTTCTTGTTTGCTGAAAGTTTAATTTTGAGTATAGATTTATTTTTTTTAACTTGGTAAGAGTTTCTCAAGACACTGGAACAAGCACTCTGAAAATACTTTGCGTATGTAAGATTTTGCACGCAAGAGCACCTGTGTACAGTTCTTTTACTGTTCTGATGAGTATGTAGACTATGACAGCATGTAGCATGCCCTGGAATTTTTGAAGCACTTCCCAGACTCTGGGGATATGCAGCAATTTCTGCATTTCAGATCTCAAAAACATGTTCCAAATGATCCTGTTGGTTCTTCCAGTGTGGTGCTGTGCAGGCATGCACACACACAAAAAGAAGCCAAATGATTCAAAAGGGATGCCTTGGTTTACCTAAGGAATTTTAAGGAAATTACATTAGAGCAATAACTGAGCTGTATGTTTTTTTCATACTGGGAGGAAGAGTTTTCATGCCCCATGAAACCCCAGGTTGTAGCAAATTGTCCTAGTGAAAGGAGTGCATCTGGACGAATGTCTCTTTTCTGCCAGTCTGCGATGTCCTCTGCCAGCTTCTCTGCTCAGCAACAAGTCTGACTGGTGAAGCGACCCTGAGCAAGGGACTCTGAACTGGATAATAATTGCCACCAACTTGTATGTGGCCTTCCTCTCAGCCATCTGTAGCCATTGCCTCCTGCTAGGCACAATCTCAGTTGGGAAGGGGACTAAAGAGAAATCTGTCCCTGAGTAGCAGTGAAATCAGTTTCCTACAGCTCTGAGCCTGGTGGTTAGAGTCTCTGGTGCCTGAGGAAGTGCAGGCTCTGATCAGACTTGCTTTGAGGTTGGCATAGTCATTATATGGCTGTCCTAAGTGGATTCTCTGATGCTTATGTTAACAAGCTCTCAGGGTAGACTCTGTAGCTTTTCTTTCAGCAGCTGCTAGCTTAGGTCTTTCTCTTCTTTTCAGCTGCCTGTTTTCGTAAAGATTGTTGCAATGTAGTACCTTTCAAACCACCACTTTCCCTGTTAGATTTGATTAAAACTTATTAATTATCTTAGATGTTACTGGTCGGAGTAGGCAGAAACAAATGCACGTGGCATAGTCACACGAGCCTCTTTTAATGAAAAAAATCCTTACCATTCCATTAAATGATGTGACATAAATTACAATGTGTCATAATTCATAATATCAGCTCCTCAATCCAAACAAAAGCAATAATAATGCCCACATGCTCTAATCTGCATGGTTTCCTCTGTTTGGAGAAAGAAGCTTTTCCACACTGGTAACGAACAGCACCCTGTCCTTCTTTCAGGAGACCTGCTGCAGCATCCGTGGTTCATTTACATCCTGGCAGGATGTGCAGGGGGTGCCATTATCCTGGTGGTGTTTGTGTCCTCAGTCATATGTTGCTGCATGAAGAGGAAACACAAATTCATCCCAGTGCCTTCAGGTGAGTGGAGAATGCTGTTTTTCTGTGGGATGAGTCTCTACAGAGGATGGTGTTTGTGTAGGCTGGAGTTAAAATGGCCTCAGCTTGGTGGCTGCTCGTCTTCCAGCCAGCCCTCCCGTGACTCATGGAGCAGAAAGCTGCTTGCTGACAGACAATGGCTACAAACAGCAGTCTTGAATTAAACCTTTCTTTTCCTTTTTTCACCTCATGCGTGACACCATGTGCTCCTGGGCAGGAAGAAACACAGCAAAACCTTTTCTGTGAGCAAGAAAATTGAGCCTCGTTCAGGTCTGATCCTGAAAGGGCCTGAAGGCTTCTAATGGCAGTCCTTTGTCAGCACCAGTCCCTGAGTGCCCATGCCCAGTGAGCCTACCTCAAGCTGTGATTCTGCCAGCATGATCAAGCTGGTCTCTGACAGGGTAGCAGTAGCTCTCCGTACTTGGCATCTGTCTGCTCTAGGAATGGAGCCAGTGCTGCATGAGGAAGAGATGCATGCATGTGTTGGTGGTCTGGCCTTGCAACGGGTGTGCCAAGGCTGCTGGAATGTGGGAGACCTCTTTCCTTCAAGTCTTCCTTTTTGTTTTTACAGAGGAGAAGGATGATGGACTAACCATGTCTGTGATCTCCAGTGAAGGTGTGAAGAGCCCCCCCAATGGAGACCATGTCGAGGCTCAAGCTGCCCAAGTTGACTGCCCTTCAAAGCCTGGTGGGTCCAGTGGCTTACTTTAAGTCAAACAGATAGCCTGTTCAGGAGGTTGAAGGACAAAATGCATGTGTATGACTGATTGGAGAGGATCTAACTGGAGAGAGGGGCCTGGGATTCACTAGCTTAAGGAAGGTGTTACATCTTGTCCAGATGACAGAAATTACAGGAGATTGTCTATCAGTACCTTACTTTGGCACAGGAGTAGCTCTTGCCTTCATCTAGCCATGAGATGCAGTGGCAGCTCTCTTGTAAGCATCTCACAGAGGGTACTGCCAGCAGACTGCAGACTGTCCATTCCAGTATTTCAGGTGCTAAAAATATCAAAACCAACAACCTCTCTACACTTAGCAGTTTCCCTGCAATTTTATCACACATCCCTCTTATCATTAACATTTTATGAGAATTGGCATGTTTTTGTAAAAGGACAGCATTCCTGACAGCATTCATCAATAAGCTGAACTGCAAACAACAGTTAAAACCCCATCAAAGCCAGAGGCTTGTGGTTTTCCTTACGTTGGTGCTAAAGTGGGAATACAGTCATGTTTTAAGTCCTTCAAATAAATCAAAAATAAAACTGAACAGCTTTCTCACAGTATGGTCAAAAGCCTCCAGAGATAAAAACCTTTCAGAAATCTCCTGGTTTGTGCATGCTTGGTATTAACACTTCACTTCTTGCACTACATTTCCATCAGTTTTGTTTCGCAAACATGGCTATTTGCAATGCCTTCCCTAATAATGCACCATCATTAGGTAAAGTAGGTCTAGCAGCAACATCATGAACTGGAGCAAGACTGCATAGGTCATAACCTGGTCTCACTTCTGTTATCCTTCACTTTACCACGCACAGCCTTTCAGCAGCTCAGCTCTGCTTTCTGTCTAACCTTGGATGATGCTCTGCCCTGCTTTCAAAATATTAAATGCCACTGATTAACATAGCACAAGAACTAATAATAAAAAAATTCTACATAATTCAAGTAATTGTTAAATATCAATATACTTAAAGTGTAAAACTTTTTTATTTAAATAAAAAATTTCCACGTTGTCAATTTGACTAACAAAATATCCTGTATTTAATTTTTCTACAAATAAGTAAAAAGCAGAGATATATGTGAAAGTGTTTAGGTGAGAACATATTAAAAGTGTGCTGTTAGCCAGCTTTAATTGCTCAGATGTGACTGAATAGATTTGGCTTTGGTATTTTAGTACATTTTGAGCAGTTGAGGCCAGAGAGCTTCAGCACTAAAGTGTTTTACATACAAAGCCATGACAAACAGCTCAATAAATGAGTAGTTACAATGAAAACTGGAGTTTGGCTTGCAGACGCCTGAACAGGGGACTTAGGGGTTAGGCAGCCTGAGGCAGGCACTTTTTCCATTGGGGTGAGCATAGCATGGGCATTTATAAACTGTTTCTCCCTTCTTTTCCAGACACTGCCCAGACTGGTCAAGAAATTGAGCCTCAGCCCCCCATGGAAGAAAATTTACCAGTGGAGATAGAGCCTGAGGAAATGCCAGACCCAGAGGTCATAGTAGATGTGGAAAGCCAGGAAAATGCCTCAGACTGTTTTCCGGATCCAACTGATAACTGATCTGGCATGCTTGCTCTTCCACCCCATCTTGAAGCCAATGATACCCATTCTTTGCATCTCATAGTCTCATTGTGTATAAGAATTGGTCTAGAAAACTTTAGCAGGGGAAATATGTGAGGTGTCAGGCCTGCTAACCTCATTTGAAAAATAGAAGGAAAAGGAAAATATAAGAAAGAGCAAAGCATGGCTTCAAGGCCACACTGCCATGGGCTGACAGTTTCACTAACAAATACAACTGGGCAGCTGTTTCATGCTTTGTCTATTAATAGACCTGCAGTTAACCTGTGGAACCCTGGCTTTGCCATGTCTTTGCCATGTCTTTGTCAGCTAGCAGTTCCTGCAAGGAGCAGGCATGACAGGCAGACTGAGATGGCCTGCTAGTCCCAGACAGAAAAAAGGATTTACCAGAAATTTCTGGAGAAAGACTCTTAGGATATTTCAAGGCATGTTTTCTGGCCCTGCAAAGAAAGCTCAATGGAGGTTTCAGCTAGGTATCTGCTGTGCTGGGTACTTGTCTGAATCACTCCTCTGAGCTCCAGAGCCTTTGTGATTTGGCCATCACCACTTGCTCTGTGGGGCCAGGAGTGGAGGTAGGGGCTTGCTGTATGCAGACCCCAGGAGGTGTGACTTGGCTTGCTCACCTTTCAGTGCCCTGTAGTGGCAGGGTGCCACAGGTTACCTTTTGCCAGAACCTAACTGCTCAGGTTGCCAGTGAGTTAAAACAGCTCTGTCACTAGCTTGCTTGCTTGCAACAGAAAGGTGCCTGGGGCTTGGATGTGCAATTTTGCCAGAATGTTGATTATAATGCTGAGATCGTTCATGAGTGCAAGCATTACTGCCTTCAGTGTGATGGTTTAGCTACTGCAAGCTGCTGACTCTGGCCCTCTGCCTGTGCATGTTGGCCTTTTCAGTGTTGTGCCATTTGCACAGACAGCAGCAATTTATAGAATCTCTTAGGCAAGTCTTGCTGCTGCAGACATCCTGTTCTGCTCAGGGGAAGTCTGTGCATGGAGCAGCTTGAGTAGACCTGCAGGGAAGAAGTACGAGGGGAGGAGAGGGCAAGGACTCAGTTCCAGGCAGCAGGTAGCTGAGTCCCTGGCAAAGCTGCCAGGACACAGAGAGTGCTGCAGGATGCACTGACAGAGCGAGGTTTATACTGCATAAGTACATTTTGATGTCGAAAGTGAGGCATGTTGAACTAGCCTAAGGGGCTCGAAAGGCATGGTAGAATAAAAGCAGAGATGGTAGAGATTTGGGGCAAAAGGGGTGGGGAAGTGTGTATTGCATTCCTCTCTTCCCTCGTCATTTTGTCCCTGCTTCATATTGTGCTGATGCTGTGCCATGAATCCCTTGGAAACAGAGTTAAGATATGCCTTTTAAATGCCACCCAAAGTCTGCAAGTACCCCAGCAAGATCCAAACCAAGCTGAACGCTTCTCTTCCAGGTGGGGGAGCTGGTGGGACGGCGGCAATGCCTACTTGACAGTCCTTCATGTCTGTGCACATGACAAAGCTCTGCATTGATGAAGCCCAGCCATAGGTGGTTGTTCTTTTTTCCTTGTACTGTGACTCTATTTAGAAGATTCTTGGATCTTGTGTGCTGTGTTGGTGGTGATTTAGCCTGTCTGCTTTTTAAGGCTGCTGCAGGAATCAGATTTTTCATGGTAAAAGGGAGATAATAATTCTTTTCCTCATGGTGCTGTGCTATCTCCTTTCAGTACAAACATTCCTCAAAGGCTGTGAGTCAAATGAAAAAAACGTGGCACCGAGTGCTTGGGGTGGCAGCTTCCTGTAGGCAGCACAGTGGCAGCAATGCTGGTGAACAGGGGCCAGCGTCACCAAAATGAAGAGATTTAGTCAGCTTTGCTTCTCTTCTGCACTTTCTGGCAAGAGCAGGCAGGGGACAGTCAACTCCACTATATGCTTCGAAGCCTGAACCATCCTCTAAGCTGCACTGGAGAAGACACCGGGTTTGGGTACTGAAGGGTGACAGAGTTGGGCCAGCATTGTTCTGCTGGGCTGGTGCATCCCTGCTCCAACTTGCCCTAGTGCTGTCTTGCTGTGGTCAGCCCTGGGGGGATGGGGGTGCTCTGGCAGCTGCTGTCACTGTCCCGGGTGTAACCCCAGGCTGGGACGATTTTTCCTATTGAGATGGGGATCTGGGACTCGAGAGGTCTTTACAAGGCAGATAGGACGCAGCTGGTTTTCTGTCTTCCCTGCTGAAGATGCCATTCAGCAATGGGGCAAAGATTTCTGTTAGTGTGAGGTCAAGAGAGAAGTTGTGCAGCCTGTGCTCTTCCTTTAACTGTGTGGTTTCATGCACAGCTGTTGTTCTTTTTTGGTGTGTTTTTTTTTCTCTTTTCCCCACAATAACTTTGTTCCTAATAAAACGATCTGTTTTCTAACTTGTTTGGAAACAGTTATTTCTTTATGGTTTTCACCTGTGAGGTGTGGGGAAGGAAGATAGGGAGATGGTATTGTTTTAACCATCTTTATCAATCTGTGGTTTTTTGTGACACCTAAGCTGCCTTAGCTGTGGGAGAGGATGCTTGACTGCATAGCTCCTTCTGCATGGAGGAGGTGACTCTCTCATGCTCACCCTTAGACAAGTGGATCCAAGGAGTTAGTAAAACCAATGTCCTGATGGTTTGCAGTCACATAAAATCCCCTGACTTTGCTATTACAGGGTTAACCCTGTAACAGTGGTGTGACTGGGCATGGGTCATCCTGCCTGGGAACTCAGCACCTCAAGCAGCCTTCCACCTGAATTTGCAGAAATTCTCCAGTCTGACTATGGAACTGCATCACCTAGGCAACAGCGAGGCTACTTTGGATCCTAGGGCTACCTGGCAGAGTAATGGGTATGGGTATACACTACCAGGAATCTGACCAGAACAGAGATGTCTGTGCTGCCTCTTCAGGCAGCAAGTGGCCTTGGTGAGGCTGTGCCACGGCAGTGCTAGCCTCTCTGGGTTCCTGAGGGAGCCCGTGTTGCTGAGGTGCCTCAAGCTTCCTGTGGGAAGTTGGTGCTTTGCAGGGAGAGGGGTAATGCAGAGAGCTGCCACTCATGTTGTCCTCTCCAGCCACTCGTCCTAGCTGGGGAAAGCTGGGAGTAGGGCAGGGTCTATCCCTCTGCTCATCGAGTGCTGGTGGGACAAGGGAAGCTTTGCTCTGTGAGAAATGCAGAAGTTTTAGGATGTGGTTTCTTCCCAGCTGAGAGCAACCACAAGTGATTTATAGTACTGTACAGAATGGACATTTAGATTTTCACCCATGTCAATGTTTCCTGGTGGGAAGAGAAAAATTTCCCTCCCTGTGGCATATGCTAAGCAACAAATGACATGAACTATATGTTCATGAGATATTCACGAATCTAGTGATTCACTCACTAGACATGAATATGTAGTCTTTTTATCATGTAATTCATGCAGTTTATGAATATAAATGGGAACAGAAAATTATCTTATTTGATGTAAGATCTAGGTGAAAGGAAAAGCAGAAAAGAAACATGTTGTGTAACACTGAGCAGAGAAAGGGGAGTGCCCTTTAGATTGTTCTTTGTCACTCAGAATTAACACATCCTCACAAAATTCTCATGGCAGTAAAGCCTCCCATCCCAGTAATGAAATGGTTTGCTCTCTGCTTTCCAAACTCTACCTCAGGCTGCCATGCCTAATGGCATGGCAGTGGCTGTGTATGTAGCCCTTGGGGTCCTCCCTTGAAGCCCAGCATGGGAGCAGAGGTGCCCACGCAAGAGCCAGCAGTTTGTGGGAACCTGGAGGACTAGCCCTCCCCATCACTGTCACCTCCACAGAAACTGCATAACAGAAGTTGATGAGTCTGAAAACAGACATACAAAACCCAATGGGCCTGATCACAATAGCAAATGAAACATTTGTTGTAAATACTGAAGAGGCGTGTGAGCAGTGGTTAACTTCTGATTAAAATCTCAACGAAAAAAAGCCTCAAGGTTTTAGGCATGTGCATGGTAAGTTCTTGTTGCTTTTTATGAATTATTGCAATTAATTTCAAAATAAGCGAACAAGAAGGGTTTATGTGTAACTCAGCTGTAGGGTACAGCATCACTGATAGATACCTTTAAAACCATTCCCTTAACATTAGCAAACAAGTTCTCAGGAAGGACTTCACCAGCACTAGCCTCATACAGACAGGGATTGATTGCACCCCGACACTGGGACACCTGGCCTGGCCAAGGGCACAAACACTACCCCGATGCTAATTCAAACTCTACAATGACACACCACCAAATTCTTTTTCCATCTTAGATAGAAATGGGTGATGCTACTCTTCTTGCCTGTTCCTGTTACATGTTCTCTGTGTTTACCTATGGGAGTCCATAGGGCATTTCACTCCTCCCCACGTGGTGGTAGTAATACCTACACTTCTGGATCTTACTTGTCTGGCTGACCTTAGCAAATCATTTAATCCTCCTCTGCCTCATTTCCCTATCTGTAATACTGGGGTGATCACATATGCCTCCTCTGTAAAATGGGTTTAAGCCTTGCTGATGCACAGCAGCACCTCACACCTGCGTGTTGGTGTGGCCAAGATCTGGGAGACCCTGTGGGGTGCTGCATGTGGAGGCCTGTCTGATCTGCAGTGAGCATTGTGGTCCAGATGGCACAGGATATATGACTGCCCAGGATGTGAGGAAGAGGTTTACCAGAGCTGTTACGGTAGATGACGCCTCTCTTGTTAACCTTGCTAACTTGTGAGATGCTGCTTTCCTTCTGACTCTCAGGAATATGACAGAAAGAGTTGGACCTCATATATTGTCTTGGTAGAAATACTGTGAAAAGCCACACCTGGCCTCCAGTCCCCCAGTGCTTAGACGCGTTATGCAGAACGCCTCCTGCCTGCCTTGTTGAGATCCTAAACCACAGAAATTCTCAGAAATGCAACAACGCAGCACCTTAGCCATTGCCCTTCCTGACAACAGGAGCTGTTACTGGCTGACAACAGGAGCTGTGGGCTGTGAAC